CAATAACATTGGTTTTTATTTGAAAATATTAGTGAAGGAACTAGCCACTCGCTACTTGCTATTCGCTACTAAATTCAATATGGCCGTGTTCGTTTGCATAAAAAGATAAAAATAAACGTCAGTCCGTCCGTATGTGCATTCAATGAAAAACAGTTGAGTGAATTTCGATCTGGTTCCGTGGAATACCTAAAAAAGGCATTTCGTTTTTCCGGGGACTCATGTTCCGGCTTTTAACACGTAAAAAGTTGGCGGCTACATTCGTTTTCCCGTCACGTTTTCGACTTTGACAAAGAAAATCAAACGGCTACCGACCGACAACAATCTCGCAACTTTAATCTGTTTTCACTCACTTCTTGATTTCGACAAAGTTTCGAAGAGGAAAAATACTTTGGAGAATCCAAATTGGATCAGGGTGTATTTGCGGTATAATTTACTTTATGAACAGTTCAAATGATGATTGATAGAATTCTCTTGGAGCTGAATTTCCCGGTGGCTTCCATTACACTTCAGTTGTCATTTACTCTCAGGTAGCGTCCCTATCCTGTCAGTTTCTGACCGCCACCGCATTAAACATTTACGTAATACAAGAGGAATTCTGTCTCAACAATCTTAAAATAGACGACCTACGGGTCCCTCTTGTATTTCTCTGAATTCAATTCGTTCTTTGAGCAAAGATATCGAGACGAAACAAGCAGAAGGTGGAGTAGAATATTGTAGCTGACTCCTACAGTCTTACTATGCAAATGGTTCCAATAGAATAACAGAAAAAAGATCTGAAGCCTTAATATCCATTTAGTAGTAAAATACGCAATTCTATGTAGATTTATGTCTTGTCCCCGGAGGTTAAGGCGTTCAATTCTTTTCTGTCATGAGGGTGCGGGTTTGGAAACCTAGCAATTACCAATGTGAGTTATTCCGAGTTTTAATTATGTACTTTCTATGATTATTTCGACGCCACTGACATAAGGTGAAGGTAAACATCACGAGGAAACCTGGACTTATAATTGCTAGTTGTAAGTTTGAAATCGCGAACCTGCATTGGGCAAGCGTGGTGATTAATGCTCAAACCTTCTTAGTATGAGAAGAGGCCTTTGCTTAGCAGTGGGCACTTGTAGGCTGATGATGATGATGATGATGACATACTGTGAAAAAAAAATATCGCGAGGAAACCTGGATTTATAATTTTTTATTGTAGGTTTGAAACCGCTAATTCGCCTTGAGCAAGCGCGGTGAATGATGCTCAAAATTCCGTGTAAGAAAAGGCCTTTGCTCAGCAATTGGCACTTATAGGCTGATGATGTTATGTCTTGAAGAATACCTTTTTTATAGAGCTAGAAGTGAATATGGAATTAATGTTCAAAGCAAGAATAAAATAATAATTCTTTGTTCCAATTACCCTTACCAGAGAAGATGTCTATAGTGCTAAGATCACACAAATATATAATCTGCGGTGCGCGCCTGTTCGTGTGTACATGGCAGCAATAGTTTAATTAAGTTGGCAACACCGGCCTCATGTCAGATAATAATTAGCGCGCACCGGGTGGCTCTCTCCAACTTGGATCCAAATGGGATCAAGTTTTCATGTATGTACAGGATCACACTTGTGCCAATTATAAATTAGTCGAGTGTCAGTTTTCTGTCATCATGCTTCATAGTAAAACATTAAAGAAAATATCATCGTTCTATGGTCTTTTTTGTCGGACAGGTCGCAAACTAATTAGACAGACAAATTACCAATAAGCTAGAAATCGAGCCAAGAGCACAAACCAAGTTACAAGTGCGTTGCCGGCCTTTTGAGGGTGTTTAGTGATTTAAGGATTGGAAGATGATGGGGGTTTGGCAGGAAGGAGCACTGGGCCTATGGTAACTTTGCACATATGGAGAGCGGGGTAAGCGCAATGAGGCACAGAGCAGGAGAAAGAACAGGGGGGTTTTTAGTCAGTAAGAGTCTGACACTCCCTCCCGCCCAGCCCTGGGCGGGAGAAGTCATTTGATGATTCTCCCCTCACAAAAAAAAGTATTGTTTCACGACTTCACGACTTTATTCAACTTTATATATTTTTTTTTATGTCAGAGTGGTCTAATAATTAATAAAGAAGAAAAAATTAGGTAATGAGATCTTAGATTCCCTTATGATATCAGTTAAAATTGTGCAGATTTTATGTAAACTGGGATGATTTTTTAACTTATTCGAACCTTAAAATTATGAGGCAATGGGCTATACGTACAAACATATATGTTTTAAAACTAATCAAATAAACTAAACTTAATCATGTCGTCCTAATAATAAGACTCTTTTTAGATTTAGCACCATTCCTTACTTGAAAACTATGTCAAACCGAACAATAACCCTGTTCCACTCTAGTGGGTAGATTTAGTACAGTTCTAACAATTCAATATTGTAACCAATGAAGAACGTAAAGCTGGAAATTTATGCAGGCGACCGTTATGTCGCATGTAGTGGGGAGAGGGTTAAAACCGCTTTGTCACCGGCTGCCTAGCTGCAGATATTGTACAGGTAAGACAAACACAAACATGTTACTGGAAACAGACGTAGCACCTGTACTGTTATGTAAATAGAACGGTAGAACGCATGTCAAGGTATGTAAGTACGTAGGTAAGTGTGGGAGAGCCATGCTTTGGCACGAATGGGTCGGCTCGACCGGAGTGATACCACGGCCTCACAGAAAACCAACAGAGGCCCAATCCTCCCTCCCTAATCCCTACATCTCCCAAAACCCTAATCCTCAAAAGGTCGGCAACGCACTCGAAACTCCTCTGTTGTAGCGGGTGTTCATGGGTGGCGCTGATTGCTTACCATCAGGTAATCCGTCTGCTCGTTTGTCGACCTAGCACATAAATAAAATGCAGATACGTGATTTGTTTATTAGAATCCTTCTTCTTAATCGCTGCTTTTGACAGAGTAGTTTTGGTCGTCATGTAGCGGTAGAGGAGAAGAAAGCCGAAGAAGGGCGAAGACATGATTTTTTTAGAGTTGGTTTTCTTGCCTTGTTTTTTTGCGAGAGTGAGCATCAGACTCTCGATGTTCAGGTGTCGCGGTATATTATACATTATTATACTTGGACTTGTAACCCTTTTAAATCATCGGATCTGGTTCTGATCGGGCGACGACCTACTCTAGCACGCCTTCCGCAGACCGGAATGGAGTGCCGGAGGAAGCGGCTTCTCAGTTCCTCTCGCTCAGCACCATGGCCTCAACTAAAACCGGGCGGTATTCTGCCCTAGCAGGGCACGCCACCACCCTATGTACAGTCAGGGGTCAAAAATGCAATTAAACTCTACCAATTTTAAAATGATCAAAATATATTTGTAGAATAGAGTCAATGGTTGAGGACTGCTTTCATTTATAGCATAGAATCTAAATTATTGAATAAACTGGCTGTGAACCATTGAACGTTTACTACAAAGAAATTTTAGTCATTTTAAAATTGGTAGAGTGTAATTGCATTTTTGACCCCTGACTGTACATATGTACTGTGTCCTCCTTCTGGTCTTCGCAGTGACAACACCCGGGCGTTTACTCTTACTGGATCTGAAAGACTTGTAGAAATGGTGTCAGGATTTAATAGATTTAAAGACCAAGAAACATAAATTTATATAAACATACATACTATTTGCTCAAATTGATAAATTATTTTTCATCTGCATTATTATTATAATTGTATGTATGTTGTATGTTTATACTATGTTGATGATATGATATAGTACATAGATTTACAGTACGTAATACATAAACATCAAAGAGATTCATGCCTTTGTAACTTCATGTCTGTGAGTGTATTCCGGCCCTGTTATGCCCTTTGTTTGTTGTGAAGTTTCTCTGATTTAATTCTTTGGTCAGTTAAGCATATGCTTGTTTTGTGATAGTATTAAAAGTCTATTAAGAATAATTAAGCATAACTACATAATAACATTTCGCTGACTGCATCATTGCCAAAATGCATAACTGCTTGCTTATTAATACTGAAATAATTAACGTAAACATTTCTAATTGTGGGACAGCAATTATTGGATAAAAATCCTCAAATCCTCAAACTTCTAATTGAGACCAATTTGTATTTCGTGTGTTTTGTTAAACTAGAAGTTTCTTAAGGTCGTCGGATCATTTTAATTAAAGTCTTTTTGTTCTATACTGTCTTAAACCACCCTGTTCCTTTTCCTGCATCGGGTCGAAGTCGCGGTACCTTATTGCCATCGCGGTCTATTCGATCTATGAGACGCGCTCAGAACTCCACGTTAACGCTGGTTCTCGTGGGCAGTGAGCTACTTATGCTCTACATCCGCCGACCGACGATACTACGTTACTTGATCCGCATATAAAGGAAGGCTTAGTCACTCACGATAGCCAACCTCTGCACTTGGCAATTTTGTGTGCCCATGTAATATGCATGAGTGCATGAGTGTATACCTTATCACTAAGAAGAGAGAAGAGACGTCTTAAGTAAAGCAATGTATGTAGTTCTGTTGGCATATTCTACTGTATTGTTTAGCATTTAAATGTGAGTTTTTAAAGTTCTTTTGAAGATAACAGATTTTAAAGTCGACGTTTTTTCCAAGCTTTTATTTAACTTACGTACCTGTAATGTAAGTATATGGTATGTATGTATACTGTGAGAAGTCTTTTCAAGTAAATTTTGAAGTTCAGTGACAACCGATTGAGTTTAATTTTCGTTCACACGTTTAGTTTGCATAATATTCAATGCTAAGCTGTGTGAATTTTCTTTAAACCACAAAAAAGTTTGTAAAATGTTTAGTCCTAGGACTCTGAGGACTGATTGACTCACCTGATGAAAACTTGTTTATATATAAAAGCTGTTTTAGTTTTAGTCTAGTTTATCTTAATGTCATATTTACCTACATTGAAACAGTTATGATGCATTTAAATAAAGATGCGCTTATATTTAGCATTCGACGAGTACATTGGCATAATTTTGACGGAAGTAACTTTTTTTATAAATTACCAAGTCCCTATTTATTGTTTAGTTGGAATTCTCTTTCTCTTTCTCTTTCTCTTTCTCTTTCTCTTTCTCTTTCTCTTTCTCTTTCTCTTTCTCTTTCTCTTTCTCTTTCTCTTTCTCTTTCTCTTTCTCTTTCTCTTTCTCTTTCTCTTTCTCTTTCTCTTTCTCTTTCTCTTTCTCTTTCTCTTTCTCTTTCTCTTTCTCTTTCTCTTTCTCTTTCTCTTTCTCTTTCTCTTTCTCTTTCTCTTTCTCTTTCTCTTTCTCTTTCTCTTTCTCTTTCTCTTTCTCACGTTGACTTTGATTTTGACATACAATTGCTTTTTATATTACAGTGTTATCCTTAATAAATGGTTTTGAGAATATTCAGTAGAGGGTCAAGTGCAATAACGTAATCTGGCTTCGGCCCGGAGCAGGACAAAGAATGGAGTGGTTTTCAGCCAGCCGATGACTTTCCCCTTTCTAAAATTTCATCTTCTACAATAATTGATTAAATGTTTTATTGAATTTAGCAGTAATACTCCCAGGTATTGTTCATGCTACAAAAATGATTACGAATAAAAACCAAATAAAAAAAGACAATACAATTAAGTTGATTTAAAATGAGAGAAAAGGAATTTTCCACGCCAGCAACGAAGCACGGACTCACGGACTAATTGATGTGATTAAAGATTTATAGATACAAAGCTAGAAATCTCTAGAGTCTAGTCTAGGTACACCGAATGTACCGAACTTAGCTTAAACTGTAAAGGAGAAAATCTGCTTGAATAATTCAGTTTTTGTAATCGTTACACTCAAGAAGCTTTCATTGCTTGAGTTGTTAATAAGAAATTTAAATAGAATATTAATGTTTTATTATAGTCTTCTGTAAAATATATTAATGGTATACGAAGTTGTTTGTTAATGTATTATTTGTAGTTTAAATAAATATGAGTATTTTAACAAAATAACGTATTATAAGTTAGAGAACATTTGGGGGTGTGGATCATATTATATTTTAATTTCTTTACTGAAGTCTCAATATTTAAAAACCTTTAAGATATCATATATAACACCCTTGTCCACCATCAGGTTATCTTCGTTTGCCAACTTATCCCATAGAAAGGTGTGAATGGGGTCATGTGATGAACAGGTTAACTCTCGAAGTTTTCCTTCACCTTGCGGAGCTGTATGACAGGGATATCTAAATAATCTTTTAAAATTACATACCTATATATAACTTGGAAAAACTCACATTGCTCATAATGGACAATTCATTAGTCTCATAAAGAATATAAATTAGTGTCGGACATCTTTTGGACCAAGCTATCTGTGCTACTACAATATAAGTATTGGTTGGTTATAATAATATAATCTTCTACTTCAACTGGTAATAATTCTATTTATATTTCTTGGACTGCCACTTGACCTGACCTTCGGTTCTCAAGGGCCTAAACTTTTGCGGTTCCGAGGCACAAAGGTAGTAGATTGATATTATCAATTCCTTTAACAGAATTATGGTTGCCTTGGCGACAATGATAAGCCAGATCTATTACCATCGTTTCAAATTATTGCTAGAGGTCTTGCTTATGTTGGAGTACTAACTTGATATAGCTTTAAATGGTTTGAATTTATAAACTCCTAGCTACTCTCGCGCGGTTTCACCCGCTGCTCGGCTCCATTAAATCTTTTCGTGATGTTTTTTTATAGCCTTTAGCACTCGGAAACATTGTAGCTATCTATCGGTGAAAGAATTTTGGCAATCTGACCAGCGGTTCCAAAGATTACCCCCTACATACAAACTTACAAATTTTACGTACATTCAGGTACATTTTTTTGAATTTTTATTGGATAAAATCATTAAATGACTTTTTTTTGCTTTACGTAGGGCAAGCGGGCGTGTAAGATTCTTACTGACTAATTAAATAAACAACACGTTCCTTTTCCTGCCCCAGGCTGGAGCCGCGATACATAATTACAGACCCCATTATTGGATTGGACCCCATCTGTAATCGGTGGTCTGTTGACTTTTTTGTTGTGTTCGCTGTCTATATCTGTCCATTGCCAATTTAAAAATATTTGACATTTATAACATAAACACTTGACAGTATGAAATTAATATTACTAGCTGACCCGGCAAACGTTGTTTTGCCATAAAAATAAGGGTTGATCGTAGACGGGTAAAAATTGAGGATTGTATGTAATTTTGTATGATGTATCATAAAAAATAGAAATTAAAAATTGTGTCTGAAAAATAAATAAAAAATGTATGCCACTTCCGCCCGCGTCGTATGTTGATAAAAAGTAACCTTATGTCCTATTCCAGCGTGTATTGCCAATTTTTATACAGGTCCTAATAATTGAGTCTGCTTGTGACCACGACCTGTATGTGCAACCAGATCGAAACATCGAGCCTACCAAGGTATTTAAATAATTATTATCCAGCCGTTTTGGCGTGATTGAGTAACAAATATCCAAACATCGTAACTTTCGCATTTATGTATAATATTAGTAAGATAATAAGATTTACAAAAATAAATTAATTGTTTCATTGTTACCAAAAAATTTTCTTTAAAATTTTGGGAACAACATGGTACTCAAATGTGAGAGAGCTATCTCTTTAAGTTTAAAGGTGTCCATGGGCGGCGTTGATTGCTTACCTTCCCAAGATTGTACATATGTCAAGTCTGTCGTTTCCTATCCTATAAAAATACATTAGTCACAGAATGAGGACATTTGTATTTTCCTGTGCTTTTTATGAAGTGGTACGTGAGAAATCACCGCACTTTCAGATTGACAAACAGACATATAAATAAATTAAACATCCGATGGAGTCGTTAGGTAAACAGGACTCGGAGACAACTCGAGTGCCACTAAATGGATTAATCCATCACTGCGCTCATATTTTATAAATGCAACGTTGAGTGAAAATGTAATTTATTATGCATAAGCTATGGTTGCTTTTCCTGTAAATTTTGTGTACGTTTTATCATGTTTCATCAATAATTTTAGTTGACGTTACTGGGTGACTGTTTCGTTGGTCGTGTGTTTGCACATTTGTTGATCATGAGGACTTGAAGCCACGATTAATGAAATATATTTTTCTGGAATTAGAATTACATGTAGGCTAAGTTTGTTTCATAGTATGCGATATTGAGCTAAAGATAATAAAAAGTTGTGATTTTTTTTGGATTAGGTACAATAATTGTAATATACATCTTACAAACTGTATCATCATCATCAGCCTGACTTCGTCCACTGCTGAACATACATATGCCTTTCCTATTGCTACTGAGTTCAATGTTCAGCTCTTCTCATCCAACCACTGACAGCCAACCTGCGGATATCGTCAGTCCACCTAGCTGGAGAGCGCCATACACTGCGTTTGCCTATATGTCGTCTCCCCTCTAGAATACAACTGAATGTATTTATTATATGTGTTTTCAATCTTTCGTTTGGAGCGTGGTGGAGAACAATGGTGCGGAGCGAAAGAAACTGAGAAGCCGTCTCCATCATCGGCGAAGCAGTCGTGTCAGGAAAGCGAAACAAAAAGCACGTGAAGGTACTAAACTTGTCCTGCACTCGACCCAGCTGAAAGGCCGGCTAGAGCAACTCGCCGCCAGACCGTAAGCAGGTCTGCGAAAAAGTTACCAGACCATAACAGATAGGGTCCACCAGGGCCGATATCTGGCCGGGGTTCCGAGTCCAAGCGCAATGATGTAGATCAGGAGAAGAAAGGGAATGTTTTTAGGCTGTAAGAGACTGGCATACCCTGTCTCTCGCCCTAACCAGGGAGAGAGAAATAATTGGAAGTTGTTCCGTCCTCGAAAGAAATCTTTAAACGCAATGAACGTACTTAAACAAAATAAATAATGAAAAGTTTGAATTAAAACAATATTTGCAACTGTAAACTGAATAAGTTTTTATGTGTATAGTTACTGAGTCGCTTTTTATCTGTATTTTCGCAAAACTTGAGCACAAACAATTTCCGTGGCCTCAATTAGACTCAACGACTAAAAAGTTTCGACTACAAAAAGGCCAACAGCCTGTTTATGAGTACTTTAGAAGTGGAATTCAGCCGCAAAAGGCTTGTTAAAGATTACAGGTGATTGTTCGTTGCTGTTTCCATAGATATTTGGTATTGTGCTAGCTATAGCCAGCAAACACGCAAGCGTTTGCAGTAAGTAAGGCTACGTTCACACTGTTTTGTTTGTGTATATCTAACTAGGAAAGAAGTGGAAAATTTATTGTCTATTATACAGAACTATATTAGGTTGGCGCAGTGACAGAGCTACTGGTCGACTTGAAAACACAGCACGGTTCGAGTATAAAAATATTGTTGGTGGGGTTACATGGGAGAAAATTTCTGACAACAAAACCTTTTTTAGACACAATACAATTTTAGATGGTAACATTTTTCGACCTCTAAAAATAGTGGTTGCCATACATACCTACAAACATATAATAAATGTTATACAATTACATCACACTCAGACCCTTACATTTTGGTAATGGATTGTTATGGGAAGAAAAGGGAATGCTGGTTGAATAATACGAATGGGACAGGGTTGCTATTTGATTAAAACTAGGAATTCCTAACCTTTGACCTTTGACAGTCTGCCATTTTCAGCATTGAAGCTTCAAAATATAGGTTAGTTATTAAAAGAGACAAAAATTAAGGATAGAAGAGCCTTACTTCGGCCCGACCGAAGTATTCACAGAGAGCAGGCGTGAAATAATTTTAAAAAGAATTCTTTATTTCAGACCCATAGTAGTCCGTAGATTGTTAGCGTATTAGTAACAAAAAGTTCTTATGTACTATATTAGTATAGTTAGTAACCTATAGCTTATTCCACCCAGTGTCTCTGTATCGGACAATCCGGCCTATCAGCAATCATTTTCAGGATGCTGTTACGAGTGTTGCGCAAGCGTTGCAGTAAGGAAGCCGCTTTTTTACGCATAATGGCGTGAAAGCCATCCGTGTGAGCTATCGGCAAATATTCCCGATGCACTGCAACGCCGCGGTAGCCGCATAATAATAGTTGTGTTGTTGCGCAATGTGTGTGAAGTTACCGGCGGTCCACTTAAACACATAACTCCCAAAAGGCTGGTTTGTGTTGTGGTCTTCATGAGCGGCGCTCTAAATTTTGGCAAAATTTTATAAAGTGTAACGATGGAGTTTCTTGCTCCTTTATTTCCATTCGAAACTACAATTTGGAACGAGCACCTAGCTTCACTGACGAACTGACTACTATTATACTTTGACGTTTCAAAGGCACCTAATAAATGATTTTGATTTGTTAATTAGCTAATTAATTTAGAATGTTTCACGAAAGTTATA